AAGATACTTATGAATAGCAAAAAAAAAATTGAAGGTATAACGATCCAATATTATACATGACTAGTGGGCCAATTTATACTACTATATCACCGATGATGAACACAAGTTCTAGTTTATAATTCAAATTGAATTACAAACTAGATCTTGTATTAAATATCAAGAGTGGCATATATAACAAAACATTTGCATTATTCTAACAACGTATGGAGATAATTGTATAGAAGTGAAGGAGGGATGTTGTTTGGAACAATGAAGTTGGATTCTGATACTGAAATGAGAGAGCCAATAAAAGGGGACGCTTCATTCACAGTTGTGTTAGGAGTATAACATACGCTTTCTTCATTCATGGAATATATATTTTGCTGTCTCTAATAAGGTTCCATTCTCAGTGGACAGTGGTGAACCATCCATGATCCAACACCTAATCTTCTTTGTTATTCCTTGTCGCTTTCGTGTTTGACTATACCTATTATATGCACATATATGTTTCCTTATGCGTATTCGTTTTTTAACTTTTCAACCCTTTCATTGTACCTAGCCACCTAAAACTTTCTATTCCTTCTCTTTAGGGGTTATCTTAGCAGCATCATTATAACAACAAAACCCTCTTATTATCCGTGGAATCAGCTACATAGATTGCACAATATCATTGTACTTTATTAATAGTCAAAATTTTTGATATACATTAACCAAAAGGTCATACTCTAACTTCTTTGAGTGTTTTTTTTTTGATCTTTTTCTACCTCTTTTTAAAGAATTCCATACTAAACCTAATTTTCAAAATGATAAGTGATTTCGACAGTTTTTGACATATCAAAACTATTACAAGAGTAATCAGCATGGCTTATTGATCATTTTAAAATTCAACAAGGATTTTTTTTTTAATTTTCCCAATCTATACCCTTCTCATCACCGGCACCTCCAACAACCTTTCTTGGATATGTCCAAATAACCTCAAACGATTTTCTAATGTTTTCTCATCAATAGACATCAAATCAACTCTCTCTTTCAAATCTTATCTTTTTTTGCATAACTATATACGCATTCATCTCAAAGAAATTAAATTGCATGCTGCACAATACATATGCATTAATTCAAAAGAAATAACAAAAAGAAGTTATGATCTTTTTCTGCCAACCATATATATAAAAGTACATGATTTATATAGAGATGTTGCGATTTACTAGGGAATAATATATATGTAATGTGATTATATTCATGCTCTAGTCTTACACTTATTTGCTCATAACAATGCAGATGGCTAGTGGCTCAAGGCGAAGACGGAAGTCTATATATAAGTATGGAAGTGTTATGAGCCATAAATGCAGAATCCAAGAACGAAAATGGTAATTAATTAAGGAAGACACAATAATTTGATAGGTTCATGTCACTTGTTAGCCTAATCAAGTTTGGTTTGAGTAAGTTTATCATCTGCGTTGGACAGATACTTGTTCCTCAGCTCAGCAACGTCAGTATCTCCGACGTGATTCTCAGGAATCCAGTTTCCGGTCTTTGGATCTCTCATCCAAAACGCTCTCTCTCTGGCGCCGCCAACACCGCTCACTGTCTGATCTCCTGCTTCCTTCCTCGCCGCCGTCTCAGCCGCTCCCAACCTCCCATTCTCCGCCGCAACTCTGCAACATCTCCTGCTGCACACATCGCAATTGACATATATATATATATATATATATATATCTTCAGTATACCCAAGAAGCCATATAAACACGAACGCATGTAAATAAGGAAGGAGGTATGATAGAGATCGCGGGGAGACAAAACCTGATGAGAAGGAGAAGTGGGCTGGCAGAAATCTTAGCCATATTATTATGAAGGAAGAAGTTCTGGGCAGTTTGGAAGTTGCAGAGAATGGAGTTTACAAATAAGCTCATAAAGTATAGGTTTCCAGCTGCCATTCGTAGCTAAAAAGCACAAGCTGAAATTAATATTAAAAATTTTGTGGATAAGACCTTGATTAGATTCGGTCATGTGTCTGCGGGCAGATTCTCTAATATACAAACTAAATACACAAGATTTGGTCTTTCTGTAATTATGTTTTTGTGGGCTGGTTCCTTGTTGAAATTGAAACAGATTTTGTCTTTCGGTTTGTGGGAAGGTTAAAGCATGCATGATTAATTAACTAGATCAAATTCCCAAGAAAATGATCAATGAATTTTGAATCACAGCATTTATGAATATAACTGTAAGAGATGTAATTTCTTTTTCCAATTATACACTTATTTATGAAGATGATGGATAAGAGAGAATAATTAGGAAAAGACATGAGAAAGAATGAGGAGAAAAAAGAAATGAGAGACATGCAATTAGTTGAAAATAAAAGTAAAAAACATTATATTTTTAGACAGACACAAAGTAATACTTTTATATAGAATCCATGGCTAAGAAAAACACATATATAGAACCAATCCCATGTGAGAAAATATTACTTATATATAGGATTGGGGGTACAGGAAGAAGGGATTCTTGTTCCTCACTCAAAAAATTTTTCCTCTTAGGAATAAAGCATGCATATGGTTAATTTGGAAAAATGCCTCTTCCTCACTCGAATAATACATATAGGTCTCGTTTGGTACGCAGCATTAAAAAATGAGGAATAGGGATTGAGATTGAAAGTGTAAAACTATATTAATTAAAAGGTGTTTAGTATGAGTAATTGTATAATACTTGGGATTAGACAACCCATATATGTGGGATTGGGAAATACCATGAGGGGAGGTAGTATTCTCCAATCCTATCTGTATGAGATTGCTTAATCCCATGTGATAAGAACTCACTCATGCTAAGTATCTTTTTAACATGTTTTCAACTCCAATCCCAATTCTTATCCCTCATTTTCAATACTCCATACCAAACATAACCATAGTGTCGATTATCAAATAATTGCTTTAAAAAAAAATTCTTCTGAGAATTAAACAATAATCCAGTAAAATGATTTATGATATTTGGCTAAATGTTACAACTAAAACATAAAACAATATCAAAATTTTAGCTAAATTTGATATTTTATCAACATAAATAAATAAGCATCTAAAAACTCATCAAATTGTGTACACGTTCATATAAAATAATGTTCAATTACGTGTAAAAGGAAAAACGAAATAGGAAAAAGAAAAAAGCCCTCTTGTTACTATTAGAGTTTTTTTTTTTTTTTTGTAGAAGCAGATTGGAGATAAAAGAATAAGAAAATGTACAGTGTTATTCCTTTTCAAGGAAAGAAAGGCACTTGTTATTCTTTGTTCAAATCATAATCACGTGTGTAAAATTTTATACTAACTTTTATTCTCTTTGCTTTCTCTTCAAGGCATTGGATACCATCTTCGTAAATCAATCATCAAACTTAATTAACCATTGGAAATTCTGCCACACACACATTGCATCTTTTGCAGACACACATTGCATCTTTTGCAGAAACGTGGGAATTTTCCGGGATACATATGAGTGATGTAATCCAAAATTGTCATATTGATTCTGTCATTAATTACCGAGTATTCTACATATTCTTAATGCAATTGGCAGAAGAAAGTTGATTCTTGAAACACATAGAATCAATAAAGCCACAGTTCAAAATCTTTTTTTGGAAATAAAAAAGTATTAATGCTTTACAGCTTTAAAGCTAAAAATTAGGTTCTCATCCGAAATTATATTCACAGAAACAGTTTTCTCATGCGTCCAAGTCAACTGATAGAACATGATTATTTTCATTAACCTATATTTAATTCATCTAAGCAGTGTGATTTGAGAACAAAACATTAAATGCATCACCAAACTAATGTTTGATCATGTGAATGATTAGGTTTTTTTATACATAAACTAACCTAATTAAAAAACAGGCATGTATCTTTAGCCCTTAACAGTACAAAAAAGATTGGTTTGATTCCTAATCTTTTATGTATGGAATAAATCTAATTAGGAAGCATCTAGCTATTCTTCACCCTTGTACTTTTGAAAGAAATTTGTCTTCAATGTAAGAGATACTCCTAATATCTTGCCAAAAAGAAAAAAGAAAAATGCTATTTGTATCACTTTAACACGGGGAAAATGATTTAAAAACTAATTGTATGCCTAAATGTACTTTTTTAGTTAAAAAAAGTCAAATTGCTATGCTTGGAAGCATGGGTGAATACATTCATACGAAGGGCTCTCTTCATCATAACTTGGATTTTGGAGACAAAATCCAGCAGAAAACCACATATTGCGTATTTTTCTCGGACATAACCACCATCATTGTCAACTTTTCCATGATCAAATTGTAATATGGCGTAGATATTAGTAATATAGTTGCTTTTCTTGTAGTGATCCAACATTTGCCAAATCTTCAATTTTAAAATTTATTTCATTCACTTAAATCCGGAATGTACAAACGTTTTTCTTAATAAACTCATCTGGGGGTTATTGTATATAATTGACACTAAAATTTGTCTAATGAACTTAATTTCTGAAAATTTTAGACCAGATTTCATACACTGACCACTACTTATAAAAGCCGTTATTTTTTTCAGAATCCGACGATGGGAGGACCCCCAAAAAAAAAAGCCACTGACTTGTCATTACGGGGAGATTGAGAGAAAAATGAGTTAATCGTAGTTAAACCATTTTGAAATGGTGAGGTATCCCTTTCAATTAACTCGCTGCTTGCAGCATCCTGTTATTGCTTAATGCTTTCAATCAGAGGTTTTAAGGCCAATAAAACATCCACAATACTTGGAATCCCCTGACAAATTTACGAACCAAGTTTCTGAATTTGTATAGACTAAAATTCCACTTAACAAGGTTGTTTTATGGACAAAAAATGCCAAAACATAGATATACTGAATAATAAATATGCACAGGTCCGCTATAAAGTAGGGAAGACTTGTCATTTGTTACATGATTATGTTACAACATGTCAGCAAATTCACCAACATAGGCCTCATATGTCCTTAATCATTGGAGCCCTCGATGGGATTCAAGAGCCGTCGAAGTTCGATACAGCGAACTTCAAACCTAAGGACTAAAAAATGACAATAATAATTGGAGGTGGGGATGTGAGAGGGGAGGAGCCTATTCCTAATGAAATCAGTATTGCTTACGAGTTAAGACCTAATTCTCATTTTTCCCCTAAAATCCTATAATCTATATAGAACATAATGGTTACAGATAATTCCAACACGAGAAGGAGCTACTAAGGCTTGTTAATGGAGGGAGGGAGGCAGAAGTATATCAAAAGGGTTTTGATGCCGTTGACCCCTGAGAAAACCCATTGGCAACGCCTGAGGGTTTCTTCTTGAAATTTGTTACGCTACAATGAGGACAAATATATTCCAGTCCATCTGTTTTTGCATAATCCTGCACAAGTTGTGAACGAAATATGATGAATCCTTAACATGAAGGAAAAAGGTCATGGAGTCATGAAAGTCAATTTTCTTCACACAGGATGGCATCAGACTATTCATTGGCAACAAAGATAATTAAGGCAGTACCTTAAATGCGCCAAGACCTTGCCGTCTGTCACAGCCGAAGTGGGCCCACTCGCCACATATGCCACAATTCACCCAATCCCCAGCTGCACTACTGTTGAACAGTTCAAAATTTTAAGCAAAGATTTACACAAAATGGGAATAAGTGCGACTACTAATTGTACAGCTATTTCCACTATAGTGACATCCTCTAGTTACGGTCATAAGTCATGACAAAAGAATAAATTAGATGAAAGTTGATAACCTCAACATTCAACATGGAAGGGGGTTTTAAGGAAAACAATCTGCATGCAATGGCAAAAAGGAACACCATAACAAAACATGACTGAAGGAAAAGGGAGAAGAAAAACCTGTGACACAACAAGCAGCACTCTCCATCCACATCATCATGTGCTAATTCATATTCTAGAAGGTAAGTTTCATAATGCCTTTTGAGTGTATTTCCAACGCCCTGTAAAACAAGATAAATTATACAAATAGCCTTAGCTGTCACATGTTATAGCTAGTTAACATTGGGGAAAAAAATAACATCAGATCATCACATGGATTCTCAACTAGTTTCTGGAACAATTACCAAAGCTTTTTAATCAATCAAGGGACAGAAATGCAAGAAGCCCCCTTGAGCTTGAGGTGACTCGCAAATAATACACTGAACTTTCAAAATCAGAAATGAGGTCCCCAAATTTCACACTTCAGGAAATAAGTCATGCTCATTTTCCATCAACCATGTTATCTCATAAGCCACATTTTTTGGGGCCATAGTATCAAAAGCCCTTTAGGCTCTCAGCACCCTAAATCGGCCAAGCTGACACTGGGGGAGATGGGAGCTTGACACGTTGACTTCAGGAAGTTAATGGTGGCAGATAAGTTAAGTCCATTAAGATAGAATTAGACAAAAAGACCTACTTCGTCAACTGTGAATTTAATTTTTAGTTTTCAAAGTCTAGGAGTTATTTGCTTTTATGGATAACAACAAAATTAAAAGATTATAAGTCAAGAGAAAGGATACACACACACATATATTATAATCGTACAGTTGGCTAAAAGTTTTTTTGGTTCGTTTTACTAAAACAACTAAACCTAAAATTAATAAACTATTTCTCCTAAATTACAAAACCTAAATTCCAAATTAGTATTACACCATATATTAATTCGGAATCCATAATATTTCTCTTTTCACAATGCATCAATTCCAAACAATATCTTTTCTTTGGTAAATTAAAGCAGAAAAGTTGGCCAACTTAGGACACCAAATGTTAACGTACCGAGAGAGCTGGTTATAAAGGCACTTTCATTGCCTAGTGCCCCCAGCATCCAGAGAAGAGTACATACTGACAGACTAATCTCAGAAAAAAGAGACAACAATGAGATATAGACAAGGTATCAAACATACAGTCATTATATAATTCAATAAAAACTTAGTCTATTTTATCTTTTTAAGAACTAAAATCTATAATTTGAAACTTGAGGGACTAAAACCAAAATGAGAACAACTTGAAGGACCAAATATTATATCAACTCCATTTTATTAGTGTTTTGTTCTTAAAAATAATTTAAAAAAATGCAAACGTTTGTTTCCTTCTCTCAGAGAATAGCTGCTGAAGGAAGATACTGTTTTTGTTCTCTTAATTACATTACATTATCCTCATTGATTGGATAGACTTATATATATCTCATGTATATTCCCATGCGTTTAACGAAACTTTTATATGAAATGGTAATACAGAGCTTAATATATAGTGTTTGATTATTATGCTTTAGAATTGAGATGGCACATATCATGAGTATATTAATGAGATGGTACGTATGCACTTTCAAAACAATAAGTAGGAGTGTACTAATCCTATTATTCACAAAATCCTCTTAACTGAATCACATAAATTTGGAAAAAAAATTATTAAAATCAGTCAGTAATCTTAATTTTATAAAAAGAAACTTGCCATAAAATTCTATAGAGTCAAGTATTCTTCTTCGTAATAAGAGAAAGAGAGACAGAGTTATAATTATGAAAGATATATGTTTGAAATAATTAATTTGAATCCTGTTAAGAATTAATAAGGAACAAAATTGGCTCTAAGGGGTATAGTGGTGTCGCTAAAAGAGGTAGTGAAGATAGGCATTGCGAGCAAGCCAATCAATGCATTTATTCGCTTTCTTGAAAGCAGAATTGAAGATATAACACCAATGGAAGTTGGTCTAATAAAAGAAAATAGTCCTTCACAATAGAACGAACAAAGGTTCAAATTCGTACCAGGAGAAATACCTACATCTAGTGGTAGATAGTACTTTGAATAGAATTATCTCTAATAAGAGAATACTTATGAGTAGGAAAAAAAATTGAAGGTATAACAATCGAATATTATACATGACTAGTGGGTCAGTTTATACTACTATCACTAATCATTAACGTAAGTTCTAGTTTATAATTCAAATTGAATTACAAACTAGATCTTATATTAAGTATTAGGAGAGGCATATATAACAAAACATTTGCATTATTCTAACAACGTATGTAGATAAGGAGGGATGTGCCTCATTCAAAGTTGTGTTAGGAGTATAACTTAGCAGTTTTCAGTCATGGAATATATTTTGCTGCCTCTAATAATAAGGTTCCATTCTCAGCGCGTAGTGGTGAAACATCCATGATCCAACACCTACTCCTCTTCGTTATTAATTACTTGTTGCTTTCATGTTTGACTATACCTATTATATACACATGTTTCCTTATGCTCATTCGTTTTTTAAACTTTTCAACCCTTTCATTGTACCTAGCTACCTAAAACTAGGACTGCATATGGGCAGGGCAGGGCAGGGCAGAACTCTGGCCCGATGCCCAGCCCGAAGAATAAACGGGCTAAAAAATGCAACATGTTGCCCGGTCCTGGCCATGAAAAGCCCTGTTAAATTCGGGCTAGGCAAATGCGGTTGGGCTAGGCGGGCTTTTATGCCAAACAAGTCAATATATTATATTAATTAACTAATTATTTATGTCTTTCTAAATAATCTAATGTAACTTTATATTAAAATGGCAACTTGGCCTTAATTTTGTTATTACTAATTAATATACTATGAAACTACTTTTTGTAGTAGCTAGGAAGAGTGGAATATGACAAAAAAAAAAATTGTTTGTATATTTTATTAAACTTAATTGTTTTTCTGGTTTCTAACTCTCAAAATCATTCAAAAATAAATAAGTATAATGAACACTGAATATTGATACAACAATATATTTGATTCAGGAAATAAATATGAGGCAAAAAATATATATAAATAAAATTATATATATTTTTGTAGGCAAGGCCAAATGAGCAGGGCAGCATACCGTGCCCAATGTCTAGCCCTGCCCAACAAGTTGCCCAACCCAAACATGTCTAATAATTCTTTTGGACCATTCTTTTTAGGGTGGATTGGGCTTTTTTTGGGGGCTTGAGCAGGCATAGCAGGTAAATGGGCTTCATGAACACCCTTACCTAATACTTTTTATTCCTTCTCCTTAGGGGTTTTCTTTTTCCGAAAAAAGGATCAACAGGATACAACCTATACAAATAATAGCCTAGCAGCATCATTATAACAACAAAACCCTCTTATTATCCGTGGAATTCGCTATACAGATTGCATCATATCATTGTACTTTATTAGTAGTCAAATTTTTTTGTATGTTAACCAAAAAGTCTTACTCTATAACTTATTGAGTATTTTTCTTGGATCTTTCTCTACCTCTTTCTAAAAAACTCCATACTAAATCTAATTTACCCTCTTCTTCACCTCAAATGATTTTCTTACGTTTTCTTATCAACAGACATCATGTCAACCCTTTCTTTCGAATATTTTTCTTTTAATATAACTACGCATTCGTCTCAAAGAAATTAAATTGTATGCTGCAAAATACATATGCATTAATTCATCAAAAAGGAATAACAAAAAGAAGTTATTATGATCCTTTTCTGCCAACCATATAAAAGTATATATTTATATAGAGATTTTGCGATTTACTACGGAATAATACATATGTAATGTGTTTATATTCATGCTCTAGTCTTGCACTACTTATTTGCTCATAACATAGCAGACGGCTAGTTTCTCAAGGCGACGAAGGAAGTCTATAGATAACTATGGAAGTGTTAAGAGCCACGGATACAGAATCCAAGAATTTGATAGGTTCATGTCACTTGTTAGCCTAATCAAGTTTGGTTTGAGTGAGTTTATTATGTGCGTTGGACAGATACTTGTTCCTCAGCTCAGCAACGTCAGTATCTCCGACGTGATTCTCAGGAATCCAGTTTCCGGTCTTTGGATCTCTCATCCAAAACGCTCTCTCTTTCGCACCGCCAACACCGCTCACTGTCTGATCTCCGGCCTCCTTCCTGGCCGCCGTCTCAGCTGCCCCCATCCTCCCATTCTCCGCCGCAACTCTGCAACATCTCCTGCTGCACCATTGACAATATACATATATATATCTTCAGTATACGCAAGAAGCTATATAAACACGAACGCATATAAATAAGGAAGGAGATATAATAGAGATCGCCGGGAGACAAAACCTGATGAGAAGGAGAAGTGGGCTGGCAGAAATCTTAGCCATATTATTATGAAGGAAGAAGTTCTGGGCAGTTTGGAAGTTGCAGAGAATGGAGTTTATAAATAAGCTCATCGCGAAGTATAGGTTTCCAGCTGTCATTCGTAGCTAAAAAGCACATGCTAAAAATTAATATTAAAAATTTTGTGGATAAGACCTTGATTAGATTCGGTCATGTGTCTGCGGGCAGATTCTCTAAATACACAAGATTTGGTCTTTCTGTAATTATGTTTTTGTGGGCTGATTCCTTGTTGAAATTGAAACAGATTTTGTCTTTCGGTTTGTGGGAAGGTTAAAGCATGCATGATTAATTAACTAACTTGATCAAATTCCCGAGAAAATGATCAATGAATTTTGAATCACAGCATTTATGAATATAACTGTAAGAGATGTAATTTCTTTTTCCAATTATACACTTATTTATGAAGATGATAGATAAGAGAGAATAATTAGGAAAAGACATGAGAAAGAATGAGGAGAAAAAAGAAATGAGAGAGACATGCAATTAGTTGAAAATAAAAGTAAAAAAAAACATTATATTTTTAGACAAACACAAAGTAATACTTTTATATAGAACCCATGGCTAAGAAAAACACATATATAGAACCAATCCCATGTGAGAAAATATTACTTATATATAGGATTGGGGGTACAGAAAGAAGGGATTCTTGTTCCTCACTCAAAAATTTTTTCCTCTTAGGAATAAAGCATGCATATGGTTAATTTGGAAAAATGCCTCTCCCTCACTCGAATAATACATGTAGGTCTCGTTTGGTACGTAACATTAAAAAAATGAGGAATAGGAATTGACATTGAAAGTGTAAAACTATATTAATTAAAAAGGTGTTATGAATATTGTGTGGATGTCCATTTACCCCTTCCTCTTCATCTTTTCCAAGTAACTTCCACTACCTCCACCATCCATTACTCCTCCACTACCCATTCACTCTTGTAACTCACCTCCATTCACATTCATGGGATTGATTATCCACTATTTGTCATTTAAGAACAATTGTAACCTATTTGTAAGACTATGCCTATAAATAGGGCATGTCATTTGTGTTGTAATGCAAGTGAAGAAATACAAAAGCAATCTCATTCTCTTGTCTTCATCTTTCTACTTTTGTGGTTTCATTTTGGTTCTATTTTATAAGACGTTATCAGCACGAAGCGCTCTTGTAATCGAAAGGTGTTGTAGTAAGGCTAATCAACTAGAAGGTAAATTTCTATATCATTTCTATAATGGTTTGTTTTATAATTATTCCATTTTCTTATTCACATTGATTTGTCTCATAACTATTCTATTCTCTTAATATTAATTTTCATTTAACTTTTTATATGATAGTATCATCATGTCAAATCTCACGAAACTTGAGTTTGTGGCTCTTGACATTACTGGAAAGAATTATTTATCATGGATATTAGATGCGGAAATCCATCTAAATGCCAATGGTCTAGGAGACACAATCAAGGAAGGCAACCAAGCATCCAACCAAGATAAAGCCAAAGCCATGATCTTTTTACGTCACCATTTGCATGAGGGGCTCAAGATTGAATATTTGACCGTAAAAGATCCACTTGTTCTTTGGAACAATTTAAAGGAAAGGTATGACCATCAGAAAACTGTAATCCTTCCTAAAGCTCGTTATGACTGGATGCATTTACGTTTACAAGACTTTAAATCTGTGATCGAATATAATTCTGCAATGTTTAGAATCAGTTCTCAACTGAAATTATGTGGAGAAAAGATCACTGATGAAGATATGTTAGAAAAAACATTTTCCACATTTCATGCATCCAATGTGCTCCTGCAGCAGCAATACCGTGAGAAAGGTTTCAAAAAATATTCTGAATTAATTTCTTGCTTGCTTGTGGCTGAGCAAAATAATGAGCTTTTAATGAGGAATCATGAATCCCGTCCTACTGGCTCCACTCCATTCCCAGAAGTGAATGTAGTGGCAACTGAATCAACCCGTGGCCATGGTCGTGGACGTGGACGTGGTCGTGGTCGTGGTCGTGGCCGTGGTCGTGGAGGCGGTCGTTCCCACCAGAAGTGGGCAAATAATGATGAGCATCACCAAAAAGAATCTAGTGGAAATAATAATCATGTTGAAAATCTTTGTTATCGTTGTGGTGGCAAGGGTCATTGGTCTCGTACCTGTCGTACGCCAAAGCATTTGGTTGACCTCTACCAAGAATCGCTGAAAAATAAGAATAAGAATAAAAATAAAGGCAAAGAGCCAAAGGTGGAAACAAATTTTGTAGGAGAAGAAGGCGATTCTGATTATGGCAACATGGATGTTACTCACTTGGATGTTGCTGATTTCTTTGCCGATCCTGATGGAAGAATTGATCACTTAATTGGTGATGGAAGTGTTAAAAAATGAGTCATCTTGATGTAATTGAGTTTCTATAATTAAGCATATTTTCATGTTTTGCTTATAAGTGTGCTCTTTCACCTACCACAATAAATTCTGTACTTGTAAGGTTATTACCCCCAAAATAAATATAATTATGAGTTTTTATTCATGATAAAATTATATTTTCTTTTATTAATAATGTTTTCTTTTTAATCTTTTCCTATGTTTTTTTTTCATGAAGAATGACCATTATTGACATCAATAATGAAGATTTGTGTCTCGTTGATAGTGCAACAACTCACACAATACTCAGAAATGAGAAATATTTCTCTTCTCTGGTAATGCGAGAAGCCAATGTTCAGACTATATCTGGAAGTATAAATCTGATTGAAGGCTCTGGAAGAGCTGATGTATTACTACCTGAAGGAACAAAATTACATATTGATAATGCATTTTACTCTACCAAGTCTAATAGAAATTTATTGAGCTTCAAGGATATCCGCAGAAATGGATATCATGTTGAAACAATAAATGAAGGAAATCAAGAATACTTGGTTATCACAAACTTAATTTCTGATAAGAAATGCATTCTAGAAAAATTACCTGCCTTTTCTTCAGGCTTATACTACACACGTATTAGCACAATTGAAACACATGCTATTGTAAACCAGAAGTTTACAAGTGAGAATAAATTTAACATTTGGCATGACCGGTTAGGCCATCCCGGGACTATTATGATGCGAAAAATAATTGAGAATTCATGTGGACATTCACTGAAAAGTCAACAGATTCCACAATCACATGTTTTCTCATGTGCTGCATGTTCTAAAGGAAAGTTAATCATTCGACCATCACCAGCAAAAATAGAAAGTGAGTCTCTCACATTTCTAGAACGTATACAAGGGGATATTTGTGGACCGATACACCCACCATGTGGACCATTTAGATATTTCATGGTTTTAATTGATGCATCAACAAGGTGGTCACATGTTTGCTTATTATCCTCTCGAAACCTAGCATTTGCAAGGTTGCTTGCTCAACTAATTAGATTAAGAGCACATTTTCCTGATTATCCAATCAAAAGAATACGTTTGGATAATGCTGGTGAATTTACTTCACAAGCTTTCAATGAGTATTGTATGTCTCTTGGAATTGATATTGAACATCCTGTAGCACATGTTCATACACAAAATGGACTTGCAGAATCATTAATTAAACGACTACAATTAATTGCAAGACCATTACTGATGAGATCAAATCTCCCAAATTATGCTTGGGGACATGCAATTTTGCATGCAGCAACACTAATTCGTATCAGGCCAACAAGTTATCTCAAGTCCTCCCCTTTACAATTGGTTTTTGGTCAGGAACCTAATATCTCCCATCTAAGAATTTTTGGGAGTACAGTATATGTTCCTATTGCTCCACCACAACGTACTAAGATGGGTCCCCAAAGAAGGATGGGAATATATGTTGGATATGAATCTCCTTCTATAATAAAATATCTAGAACCATCAACAGGAGATTTATTTACGGCTCGATTTGCCGATTGTCATTTTGATGAATCAAAATTTCCAACATTAGGGGGAGAAAAGAAGCAGTTGGAAAAAGAGATTAGTTGGAAGGAAGTTTCATTATCTCAACTTGATCCTCGTACAAAACAATGTGAACTAGAAGTTCAAAAGATAATTCATTTACAAAGGTTAGCTAATCAGTTGCCAGACGCATTTACTGACCCAAAGAAAGTGACCAAATCACATGTTCCAGCTGCTAATGCTCCTATCAAAATTGATGTCCCTGTTGGACAACCTGCTATTGTAAATGAATCTAAAGCACGCATGAAGCGTGGCAGGCCCATTGGTTCCAAAGATAAAAATCCTCGAAAGAGAAAAGGAGCTAAAAATGTAGATGGCCAAGTCGAGGATAATCAAGAAAGAATTGCAATTCAAGAGGAGTCATTAGATAATGCTAATGTCTCAATTCCAAAAGAAAATCAACTACCTGAAATGTGCGAAAATGATGAGATCTCAATAAATTATGTTATGAATGGAATACGATGGGATCGAAATGAAGTCAATGTTGATGATATTTTTGCATATAATATAGCGCTTGATGTGATGAATGATGATGAGGATCATGAACCAAAGTCTATTAGTGAATGTAAACAAAGAAAAGATTGGCCAAAATGGAAAGATGCAATTGAGGCTGAATTGAATTCACTGGAAAAGCGAAAAGTGTTTGGACCTGTAGTCCATACACCTGCAGATGTAAAACCAGTCGGATACAAATGGGTTTTTGTGAGAAAAAGAAATGAAAATGGTGAAATTGTAAGACATAAGGCACGCCTTGTTGCCCAAGGATTTACACAAAGACCTGGTATCGATTTTGAAGAAACATACTCACCAGTGGTGGATGCAACTACTTTCCGATATTTAATAAGTCTGGCAGTAAAAGAAGGACTCGATTTGCGTCTGATGGATGTTGTTACAGCCTATTTATACGGCTCACTTGACAATGATATTTATATGAAACTCCCTGAAGGATTGAAGTTGCCGGAAGCATACAATTCAAGTTCTCGAGAGCAATACTCAATTAAGTTAAATAAATCTTTGTATGGATTGAAGCAATCAGGGCGTATGTGGTATAACCGTTTAAGCAAATATCTGTCAGATGAGGGATACAAGAATGATCCAATTTGCCCATGTATTTTTATGAAAAGATCT